TTGTTCTTGCTCCTTGATAGCAATGTTAGTCAGTGCCATTCAAAGTTAGGTTCTGCTCTTGTTTGGATTCTATACAACCCATTGAAAATTAGGAATGCAAATGAGGGAATCATTTGGCTCTCAGTCAATATTATCATAGTTGACTATAATTTAAAAAATGTTTTTGTGTTGCCCACATTGGATAGGATTATTTTCCTATAACGAATGGGTGTTCTGAATAACTGTTTCTAATCTTAGTAATGTCTTTATATTCCTGTGGTTTCCTACAGAAACAGAACTGAAGAGAGGGCTAACTTTAAGAAGCACTTAAGTGACTTAGAACCCGTTAGAGTTTCAATGTCAGTTTTGATACTAAATTACATAGGCATTTCTGGATATCCCACGCTAAACTTTTTGCATTGGAAGAAATAACGAACAAGCTCTTCCATCTCTCTAGTCGCACTGGAGAAGTCCTATTTCTATATGAATCTTATTGCAGGATTCTGATCACATCAATACACTTCTCCCTGCTTGCTATATTTGTTGTTTTCTTTCGTTACATCATTAATAACAAGAGATAGTATTAATTGAATTACAAGTTTTTTAAATACAAAACAGTTTGAAAAAGAGAAAGAAAACAAAATCCTTGTAGGGCTAAGCTCTGAGATAACCTGGATCATTTTAGGGGAAGATCTGTTAAATGTCTAGATAGCTTAGTAAACTATTAAATTCAAAAGTTACTATAATATGTGTTATTTTGGTATGTAATATTGAACTTTGAGAGATGTCCAAAGCAGGTAAATTAAACCCACAAAAAATTAGATGCTAGCTCTAAAGAATAAATCACCCACCAAGACATTTAAATAATCAACTGTTAAGAGTCTCTCTTTTTATTTCATAATTGTTGTGTAATGTGATGGGTCAGACTGATGGTCCTTCTTGTTCAATGTACTGGCTCCAACAGTGGTCAGCTACAGAGGAAGCTGCAAGAAACCCAACAGTAGTCAGATGTAGGATAATCTCCTCCCATGAAACCTGCTATTTCAAAATGTCCTACCTAAAACTTAATCTTCAAAGATTGGATTACACTCTGAAACAAGGAGCTTTATATCCCTTTCAAAATTCTGGCATCTGTCTGTTAGAAGCTGTGAGCCAGGGATTTGAACTCCTAGCTTCCATGGCCCTGCCCCATGCTTCTACCATCTTTGTCTCTTTCAAATTACTATGTGCAGAAGATTGGGCCCTTAAAGCCTTACAACAAAGTAGGTTTTCCCTTGTCACAGGCATTTCTGTGGGAGATTATCTGGGTCTTGATGTCTGTCCAGTGCTTTGTAATAATTGACTGAAAAGTGCTATATAGGCAGTCCCCAGGTTACATACAAGATAGGGACTGTAAGTTTGTTCTTAAATTTAATCTGTATGTAAGTCGGAACTGGCGTCCAGATTCAGCCGCTGCTGAAACTGATCAGTTTCAACAGTGGCT